CCTTGGCCGTACAGCAGGGGGGGGGGACATAATTCTTTTTCATCCTGTGCCATATTCTCAATCAAAATCAGGAAGGGTCTTAAGAAACAAACACTGCTAAGTCTAAAATCCTATTTTAAACATCTATTAGTATAACCTTTAATTTCATTTTTAAAAAATGAATGAGTAGGCCTTGGTCATACAATAACAAAAGCAGACGCCATTGCAGCAATAATCTCTTTCATCAGTCAAAAATAGACAAAGTAGGATAGTTCAGTGCTACAGTGTGACTTAATGTTAAGATCCTTAACAAAAGAAATAGTAGAAGATCCAAGGATTCCAGGAAAAAAAAATAATACTATTGGATTTTTCTTAAAAGTTTTTCAAATTTTAGTTTTGTAAAGTAATTGTTAAGAACATTGTAGGTCTTTTTGGAACTCATAAATTTTCATTGAGTTCTAACAGCTTTTGTTTCATGCAATTTAAGACAGAACTCTTACTTGTTTGTGGTTTTTTTCTCCCCTCAGATGTTAAAACATTAAATCTTGAAACACTGAATAATGTGCAGAAACTGTGTTCAGAAAGTTGAATTCCCTCTCCCTAATGACCTTTTTTTCTTGACACCTTTTAGTATTTGTAAGCAGAAGAGAATATTTTTTCTGACAAGAGAGAAGCTGTAAAAAAAATAGGATAATAAAATAAGGGAGATCTAGATCCTTTAAACAAGCTTGTTTTGTGCAGTTCACTATGGAGCAATTGAATAGTACAAACATGTTATTGTCAGGCTATTGCACCACAAACTTACAATCCTGAATTAAAGTATTGAATAGATTATGCATGTAACCATAGGCACATACATGTTCCAATCTTGAATGTATAAGCATTAAGGGAAATTAATTATTAGTGGTCACAGATGGAATAGACCTATTAAAAATAGCTAAAGCAAGAACTAAGGCAAAACAGACCCAAGCTTTGAAGGAAACATGAGCTCCAATTAGTTCTAAATCTAACATATAATTTGATAAAAAGTGGATAAACTGTATAAGATAATAAGACACAAGTCTCAAGTCCCTCTGGAAAGCAGGACACAGCAGCATTGCTTTAGAATTAACAGCTGGGTTAAACCTTTGGTGGGATTTCAGTTCTGATTATAAAATGCAGACTGGTTCATTTCACAGAGGTAGGCCCATCGTGCACATCAAGGGAAAGGGGAAAAAACCTTCTAGCAATGCCCCTAACAGTGGAAACCAAGGATGACTGTGTATGAGGAAAATAACTCTTTAAGCCAAGGAAAGGAGGTCAGTACTACTATTATTTAGTGATACAGGAAAGATTCTAGCTCAGAGAGAACAGCCAGAACAAACATACCAGGTTAGTTGTTCTCAAGGTATCAAGGAATAACAGGACATACTTTTTTTTTTTTAAGTATTCAGAAAAATATGAGGTGGAAAGAAAAAATACAATCTGTAGACAAACAGAATAATAAGAATGACAAAATGTGCACAGAAAACCTAACCCAGCCTTTTACATATACATACATACATACATATTTAATTTGGAGATTAAATCTGTCATGGCTGGTCTTATGGCTTTTGAGTTCTGAATCCCAGGACACAAATTGCAAGATTATTCTGTGCTATCAAATGCCATGCCAGCCTTCTGCCAAACTCCAGAAGGATACATAATCACCACTGTATGTTTTAACTGATTTGACAAGACTATGTGGTCAGAAGCAGTAGTTGATTTGACACCACAGAAGTGTGTTTTCCAAATTGCATCTTTTCCCCTCCCCACCCCCAGCTCCTTATTGTTGTGAAGTTAGCTAGGGTCATTGAGGGTCTTAACAAACCACAGTAGAAGAACATTAAGGCATTTTGTGTAAGGACACCACAAGAGTTTACAGTTTTTTACATGTATTTTGTTGTGATAGTTGTTTTACAACTAGTTAGTTTCAATATAAGCACCAGCAGCTTTAATACCAGGTAAAGCACCTTTATTGTTTAAAAATAATATATTTGTGCAACATATAGATTATACATAACACTGGAATGGATTGCATCTTCTTCAAAATACAGGTGTCTGATTGCCTATATATACTTAATAGTTGTCTGTTCTTTTGCAATTTTAGCAGATCTACATTTTAACTTTTATTTATTTGTCATTTTTTGTATTCACATTGAACCAAAATTAACCTTATTTCATTTTCCTAGCCTATTATAAAAAGGGGTATTTTGTGTATTTAGAAAATGTGCAGATAATTTTCAATGGCCTCTTTCTCTTTAACTGGAACAATTACAATTAACAGGTCTTCAGGACTTTTTTTTTTTACTGTATTATTTCAATAAATGTAAAATATTTGTACTGTGCGTCTAAACTTTTATTTGCTGTTCAGTGATTTGTTTTATTTAATTTCTTCCTCAGTTTGATAACTAAATCAACTAACCACTAACCCCCATCTGATATGACCTTCCAGTCCCCACCAATACTTCCATAAGATCCATCACTTCCTATCCTATGCCAGCACTTGAGTCCTAGCAACTCAGTTGTTGGCAGATCAGCTATGCTTCAAAACAGGATGGCAAAAAAGTCCTTGTCTAATGGAGCACAAATACTCCTGCAGAAGACAAATCAGCTCTGCTTTGTGTACCCTGTGATTTTCCCAGTGGTGAAAGGCATGGAGTGAATGGCCATTTCAAACATCCCCAGCAGTCTTTGATTGAGTCTTGAGTCAGTCTTACTTGAGAACTGGAAAACATCACTGAGATCATCTAGTCTTCCAAGGGGGATCTGTAATCACACAGAATTTGGAAAGCACAAACTGGGATTCCTTTATTGGGCTGAAAAGTGAAATGCTGTTCCTTTTTTAAATATATAAAATTTCCTCACCTGTCCACATATACATCAGAGATGTTTAAGAACCCAACTGTGCTAGTGAAACAATCATATTGATTTAACTCACAAAATCAGTAAAGTGCCTGGAAAAATAAATCCTCCTTAAAAAGTACCATTGGAGCTTTTGACAAAATACTACCACCAAAATCTCTTCAGTACGTTTACCTGTCCTAACCCAAGAAAATAGGACCTCTTATATGTCAACAATTAAAATAGAAGGAAAAGGTTTAACAGTTTTATCACAGAAAATATTAGAGCTAATGTACTTAAAAATAATCTGGAATCAAGGGGACATGTGTTTGTGATTATAAATTAATATATTGAAAACCTAACTAGATTGGAAAAAACTAAAATGAAAAACTCCAAACTGCATGAATGAACAACAAAATATAAGTTACTCATGGCAAAACCAGAAAAATGTAGTGACCATGTTGACTCTGGTGAACAATGGTCAAATCCTTCATTAAGGGGTAATGGGAAGGATTGTGAACAAAATCAATAATGCTATAATGGATTTATAAATATATATTCAATACATTTAGCCAGTCTCAGTAGAAATAAAAATTGTGCAGAAATGGTTAACCAAAACGAAGTATGGATTGGAGACTCTTTCCCATGGGTGGGGGTAATGTATTCAAAAGAGAGAGTAAGATACATATGCTAGAGATGATATGTTATGAGAGCTGGGGATAAACATGCTAGAAATGCATAATATCAAAAATGAGAAAAAGTAGAGATGGTATCTGTCTCCAGCTCCACAATTCTGGACTACAGTAGTTGAATGGATAAGCTTTGAGTTTCCAAACATTTTTATACTGCATTTAATTTGCTCCTATGAGATCTAATGGATGGTCTAAATAGGGGTTAGAATCATGGATACATAGTGTTGCTAATCTTAATAACACTGATAGCTAAATAAGGTCCTTGTTCAGAAGTATGCCTGAATACCAATTGCTGGATAAAAGATAAGGCTGATGTCTTTATGACCTGCTTGTGGCTTCATAGAAGCATCTGACTTGCAATTGTTAGAAATGGGACTCTTCGCTTGACCAAGAATGCAGAACCTGCAGCCCTTCTGATGCTCTTAGTCTTCAGTCAGCCAACATAGTCAAATATTGCTCCATATGGCCATATGGTCCACTGCCTTTATACTCGATCAGGGGTCAACACATTTTTCAAGTGGCAGCTTGCACAATTTAAAACATTGCATGTCCCCACAATTTTATTTTTAAAAGAGAGGGAGTATGATAAAAATAATAATAATAATATATCCAAATCTTAAGATTAGACATCTCTATATAAGCACACTTTACAATATCTATCTACTCATGAGGAGACAGTGAATGGGCTATGTACCACATCCCTTCATGAATTCCCTCTGAAAAACAAGTACAGGTAGTCCTCGCTCACCAACTGTGTTGTTTAGCAACTATCTGAAATTATGATGGTGCCAAAAAAAATACCTTTGTGACCAATCCTTACATTTATGACCATTTCAGTGTCCTGTGGTCACATGATCACAATTCATGTGCTTCGCAACCAGCTTACAACAAACAATGTTAATACAGAAGGTAGAAGTAAAATCGTAAGTAGCGGTCACATGATTTTTTTGTTTAGTGACTGCTGTACTCCACTTAATGACCAAAGGAGAAATAAGGTTGTAAGCCTATCACGGTCACATGATTTTCCACTTAGCAACCAAGTTGCCAGTCCCAATTGTGGTCACTAAGCAAGGACTACCTGTATTGTTTGAAGGAACAACAAAGGAAATATTTAAATATTGGGAGACAACCTTTCACCTACCTTTATAATAGATTATGAACATAAGGCTTCTATTACATTAGTAGTATTTTGTGCCAGTAGATCTTATGAAATATAATGAGTTTAACAGGAGATAGCCACAAGACATCTCAGACACCTATGCAAC